TTTGGCTTTAGAAATAAAGCTGCTATCAACATTCATGTACAAGTTCTTTGTAAGGATATCAACTTTCATTTCTCTTGATTGAATTTCTGGAGTGAGATGGCTTGGCAATAAGGTAGATATATATTTTACTTGAAACATGTATATATCTGCATATGATCATGTATATATGTATATATTTTAGGAAAGTAGCAACTCTTCCAAAATGATAACCATTTTACATTTCTGCCAACTAGGTATGAGTCTTGTAGCTGCTTCACATCTTCCCAACACTTGTTATGGTCAGTCTTCTAAACATTAGACATTCTACTATATATTTAAAGTGCTTCATTGTAAATTTATTTTCCATTCAAATAATTATTAACACCTTTTAATATGCCAACTGTATCTCTTACTTGTTAAAATATTTGTCCAAATCATTTATCTGCCCATGTTTTCTTGAGTTGTGTATTTTTCAAACATACATTATTTTGCAAGTATTTTCTTTCAAAGAGCAGAAATTCTTAATTTTAATAGAGTCCAATTTATCAATTTATATCTTTTTGGATCATGTTTAAGAAAGTTTTGACTAATACAAGATCAAGAATATTTTCTTCTATTTTCACAGTTTTAAGGTTTTATATTTAGGTCTATAATCCATGTTGAATTAATTACTATATGTATACAGTATGACAGGCATGGATCAAAGTAATTTTTTATTTTTATTTTTTTGCATATGGATATTTAATTGTTCCATCACCATTTGTCAAAAACATTCTTTCTCCAATGAATTTCCCACTTTCAACAAAAATTAATTGACCAGATATGTGTGGATCTATTTAGGGATATTCTATTCTATTCTATTCATGTAATTGTTTACTTCAGTGCCAACAGCACACTCTTTTAATAACTATAGTTTTATAATCAGCCTGTGGCCAGATTAAATAGTTCTTCCAATTTTCTTCTTTAACAAAATTATTTTGCTCATTTTAGATCCTTTGCATTTCTGTGTGAAGTTTTAAATCAGCTTGATAATTTCTATTAAAACAACCTGTCAGGGTTTGAATTGAGATTACATTTAAATCTATGGAGAAGGGCTCCTGTGTGCCTCAGTTGTTTACATGTCTGACTTCAGCTCAAGCTATATCTCTCAGTTTGTAGGTTCAAGCACCACATAGGGCTCTCTGCTGTCAGCTCAGTGCCCCCTTCAGCTCTGTTCCCTTCTCTTTCTGCCCCTCCTCCTCTCTCTCTGCCTCTTCCCCCTCCCTGCCCCCTCTCTATGCCCCTTTTCTACCCTCCCTCTCTCTGTACTCTATCCCATTTCTCCTCCCCCCCTTTTCTGCTCTTTCTTCCCCTTTCTCTGCTCCTCCCCATCCCACGCATCCATTCTCTCTCTCAAAAATAAATAAACATTAAAAATAAATAAAATTAATATATGGAGGAGAATGGACATCATGATGATATTGAGTCTTCTAATCTATGAACGTAGCATATTTTTGCATCTATTTAGTTCTTTAATTTCATTTAGCAATGTTTTTTAGCTTTCAGTGCAGATGTCATATACATATTATGTCTGATTTATCCTTAAATATGTCATACTTTTGATGTTATTTTATTTTATTTTATTTTTTTAATATTTTTTATTTATTTCTAGGAGAGAGAGAGAGACAGCATGAGCAGGGGAGGGTCAGAGAGAGAGGGAGTCACAGACTGAAACAGGCTCCAGGCTCCGAGCTGGCAGTCAGCACAGAGCCCGACGCGGGGCTCGAACCCACGAACCGCGAGATCATGACCTAAGCAAAAGTCGGATGCTTAACCGACTAAGCCACCCAGGCGCCCCTTGATGTTATTTTAAATGGTGTTTCTAAATCTCAGTTTCCAAAGTTGCTTATTGCCTGTATGTAAGAATGCAACCAATATAAGTATATTGATTTCAAGTCCTCAAACTTGCTAAACTCATTTATTAGTTCTAGAAACTTTTTGCACATTTCATAGGATTTTCTACATAGGAATCATGTTATCTGAAAAATAAAGATAGTTTAGCTTCTTCAGTTCATATCTAGATGTCTTTTATTTCTTTTCTTGTTACACTGTCTAAAAGTTTCAGTGCAATGCTGAATAGATCAGAGTGGACAACTTGGGTTTTTTTCCTCATGTTTCTTTGTGCTTGGAAGTTTTTGAATCTCTCAGATTTTTTCAAAAAATTTAGAAATCTTTCAGATATCATTTCTTCTAATATTTTTTTGTTCTCTACTTCTTCCCCTCTGAGACTCTAATTACTCACAAAATAGGCATTATAAATTTTCTCATATCTGACCGACGGACTATTCTCTGAAAAAAACAGGCAACAAACTCTTTGACCTCAGCCACAGCAACTTCTTACTTGACACATCTCCAAAGGCAAGGGAAATAAAAGCAAAAATGAACTATTAAGACCTCATCAAGATTAAAAAGCTTCTGCACTGCAAAGGAAATAATCAACAAACTAAAAGGCAACCAACAGAATGGGAGAAGATATTTGCAAATGATGTATCAGATAAAGGGTTAGTATCCAAAATCTATAAAGAACTTATCAAAATCAATACCTAAAAAAGCAAATAATCCAGTGAAGAAAAGGGCAGAAGAATAGACATTTTTCCAAAGAAGACACCCAGATGGACAACAGACACATGAAAAGATGCTCTACATTGCTCATCATCAGGGAAACAGAAATCAAAACCACATTGAGATACCACCTTACACTGGTCATAGTAGCTAACATTAATAACTCAGGAAACAACAGATGTTGGTGAGGATGTGTACAAAAGGGAACCCTGTTGCACTGTTGGTGGGAATGCAAACTGGTACATCCACTCTGGAAAACAATGTAGATGTTCCTCAAAAATGTAAAAATGAGTGATGGGCATAGAGAAGGGTACTTGTTGGGATGAGCACTGGGTATTGTATGTAATTGATGTAGCACAGGAATCTACTCCTGAAGCCAAGAGCATACTGTATACACTGTATGTTAGATAACTTGACAATAAATTACATATAAAATTTTTTTTCTCCCTGGCTTTTATCGTGAATAGTTTCTATTGCTATCTGTTCAAGATCATTAATATATTCTTCAACAATGTCTAATCTTCCACTAGTCATAGTATATTTTTCATTTCATACCTTGCAATTTTTATCTCTAGAAATTTGATTTGAGACTTTTTATACCTTCCACGTCTCTATTTAACATGTTCCATTTTTCCTTTAATGTCTTGAATATATGGAATACAATTATAACAATTGTTTTAAGGTCCTGTGCATTAATTCTATATTTTATGTCATTTCTGGGTCAGTTACAGTTGATTGACTTTCTCTTTATTATAACCGTGGACAATGTCAGCTGAAGCTTTTCTGGTTCCATGTTCAGTGGCTTTGGACTTGCCATTATCACTGGAAGGTGATTCTTGGTTTGTCTCCAGTTTACAGTACTGATTCTATCCCAGTTATCCACTCCATATACAACACCACATCAAATTGGGAATTGCTTTAGGTTTGTGTGCCACTCCTTAGGAACCATATGTTTAGCACCCTGCTAGCACAAATAGTTTGCTATGATGCTATGATGCCAGCATGCTTTCTCCATCTCCTTTCTGCCTAGGTTTCTATTATAATTAATATTACCTATTCCTCCACTGAGGTATTTACTACTGCACATGGCCCTCATTAGCAATTTCTTGAATGGATTTTGATCTATATGCAGTGTTGCCTTGTGGATAAGAGTGGGTTATAGTGTTTGACTGCTTGAGTTTTCATTCTTCAACCAATTAGTAGGCATGACCTTGAGTAAGTGATTAACTTCTCTGTACTTCATTTTCCTCATCTGTAGTAATAATAATGATAGCTACCTTATCAGGTTGTTATTAGGATTAAATATGACAATAAAATATAAAGGAATTAGAATAGTGTCTGATTCAGAATTTGTTACTGTTAGAGTAAGAGGTATAGCTAAGATTTACACCAGGGAATCTGATTCGGTAGACCACATTCTTAATGGTTATGTGATATTCTTTTTTTTTTTTTAATGTTTTATTTATTTCTGAGAGAGAGAGATACAGAATCTGAAACAGGCTCCAGGCTCTGAGCTGGCAGTCAGCACAGAGCCCAGTGCGGGGCTGGAACCCACTAACCCGAGATCATGACCTGAGCTGAAGTCGGATGCTAAACCGACTGAGCCACCCACGCGCCCCTCGTTATGTGATATTCTAATAACTGTTGGACAATCTGCTTTGTCTGTTAAAGAAAATATCCCTTCTATATTTGTTGTTGGGCTGTTGTCTTTGGTGCCTAAGTATCCTAGTTCTGGTTTCAGCCCAAAGCACATTTTACTCACCCAAAAGTAGTTGGATAATAGTTTCCTAAGTTCTAAAGTACAGTAGGACTTGTTTTGTCAATGCTAGGTGAAATCGAAAGGCAAATGAGCAAGAAAAAAAAAGGTTTCTAGGAAATAATATTTCAAGACTGTTGGTGATAAATCAACTTTCTTCTCATTCCTAATTTTTTATAAATCCATTTTCATTTTTAATTTGATTTTCCCAAGTCAGCAAAAACAAATAAAAAGGAGACTTGCTGCCCTAAAAATCAGCAATTTTTTGTCTCCTCAATTTTCTTTCACAGTTCAATATCTTAAATTCAGAAGATTTAGAAAAGGTTAAGAATACATACAGAACATTAAATATTTAAATTAACAACCAAAATGGATATAAAGAATGAGTTCCAATAACTATAGAGTAGAGCAGCAGCTTGTCTACAACATGGGTACATGTTGAACGCCAACATTTCACTTTTAAAAATACCTAAGAAATGCTACCAAACTAAGTAGCATACATTTTCAGGCTTATTTTAGATAGGAAATTAATATTGGTATTATGAACACAAATTTAAACACCTAAGGACTATTACATGTAAGCTGGGAGCCATCATGATTTGACTGCTCAGAAATCTTGAAATTAATATTCATTATTTTGAGCTAAATAGCTCATAAGCATTACCTTTTCCGTAGAATTAATTTATATCCTTCTAGTGATGTTCCCTCGGCAGTCTTGACTCTGATTGGGTGACCAATAGCCAGGCAGCCCTGCGTTATCGCCCGGCTCAGGATCATTCCAGTCTTCCAATGAATAGAAAGTGGGGGAGAAAGGTCTAAATAAGTTAAAAGAACCAGAAAATTCAACAATGTGTCACAACTAGTGAGGTCATTATGCCTGGATAAGCCTGGATATTAACAGTTGCTGAAAGTGAAACACTACCCACAAGTTAGCAGTCAGCAAGCTCTGCTCAGAATCAGTGATCTTCTGTCCGACAAGGGTGGCATTTTACAGTTCAGCGCAAAATAAAACAGACCCTGATATCTTCATTTGTCCTTTTTTTCTGTGCATATTTCACAGGGCAGCAATTTGGGGTCCATCATGTGTCACTTGTTATAGTTATGACTACAGAGCTTATGTGAAATATGTATGCACAGAAAAAAAAGAGCAGTGAACTGAAAAGATTGAAACAAATCCTTAACCTTTGTACCAATTTAAAGTTTTACTCTGGGTCTAAATACCATGGGTTAAACATTTTTAAGCGGTTTGTGAACTGCTTTTGCTTTACGTGTTAAGATACTCTGAATAGGAAATTGATTGATAATATTGTTTTAATGGCCATTTAACAGGTTTTTTACTTCGAGAATCAACAACACATTTTAAATGAGTGGCAAACACTAAGGATTTATGGCATGCAAAATTGTCTATCCTAACAGATAAAAATATGTATTTTAGAAAAAGGGAGAGAACATTCATTCTAAAAAAAGATTTTCAAATTTGTTTTATTTTTAGTATGGAGCTTTATTTTTCATGTTTTTTGGTGGTAAAAAAAAATGAAACCACACACACACACAATTGGGAAAAGCAATTTTTTAAAATTTTGGTTCTAGTATGCACTAGGTTGAATCTTCATTTGACATGCTGTCTATATTGAAAGAAAACTGCTTTGGATGAGGAAAAAGAAACATTTATTAAGCACTTTCTATATACCAGACACTACGCTTGAACTTCACACATGCTTTCTTATTAATCATCATAGCAACCATGCAAGATAGATATGACTAACTTTATTTTATAGAAAAGGAAACAGTGGTTCAGTGCTACTAAGTAACTTTCTCAAGGTCATACAAAGGATTCTAATTCTGATCTACGTATCTCCAAAATCCATACTCTTTTTATTTTTTATTTTATTTTTTTATGTGTGTGGGGGAGAAATTACAAGTGGGGAAGGGGTAAAGAGAGGGGGCAGAGGATCTGAAGCAGGCTCTCTGCTGACAGCAGTGAGCCTGATGTGGAGCTCGGAACTCATAAACTGTGAAATCATGACCTAAGCTGAAATCAGGCGCTCAACTGGCTGAGCCACCCAGGTGCCCCTCCATATGTTTTTTGGTAAGCATTTCAATTATTTTTGAGGAAATTTTCGACAAGTACAAGGTTTTTGCTATCATAAAATTCTAGAAACAGATACCATGGAATTACAAAATATGAGCTCTAGAAAAGAACTTTCCATATCAACTGGTCCAACTCTTTACAGATAAGACTAAAGCCCAGATAGAGCGTGTGACTTACCTGAGGTCACACAAGGGTTCAGTGGCAATGCTGAAAACTAAAACACTTCCATAAATTGGCCAGAAATAGAGCAGCATTCTATATTACAGTAAAAAGGCATACGTTTTGAAGTCAGATAGACCAAGAATCTTTCCTCTGCCATTCACTAGTCTTAGTTTTTTCAGCTGTATAATGTATGAGATTAAATAAGATAATAAATATGTAGAAGATGCCTAACATATAGCAGATGTTTAACAAAATAGCAAATATTGTTATTAAACCTGAAGCAAAATACAACTTAAAAATGGTTCTCCAAGTTGGAAATACATTGAGGAAATATCCCATTTAACCTCATTCTGCCTTGATATATGAAATGAATATTCCTTGGTTCCTTTGTATCTGAATTATTCTATATGTTTGTTTTTAGCTTTCATAGAATCAAAACTTAACAGTTTAGAGCAATCCCAAATTTCATTTGAGAAAATAGTTACAACCTCCCCCGACCCCAACACAGTACCAGCAAGCTTGCCTGAGGTACTCTGCACCCATGGAAGTGCTAAGAAAAGGCCAAAATAATCTATGGCAAGGGGACAAGGGAAGACAGAAGAAGGGTAGATAAAAGCTGCACCATCTCTTTCTAGACATAACTATTAGATGGCAATTACAAAACATATTTCAATAAGAAGAGGAGAGGGGAGGACAATTAATGCTCTCAATTTAAATCAGATCCAGTATTATAATAGTAAAGTTAAAAAATTAAATAGTGTCGGGGAGCCTGGGTAACTCAGTCGGTTGAGTGTCCAACTTTGGCTCAGGTCATGATCTTGCATTCGTGGCTTTGAGCTCCACGTCGGACTCTGTGCTGACAGCTAGCTCAGAGCCTGGAGTCTGTTTCAGATTCTGTGTCTCCCTCTCTCTCTGAACCTTTCCTGGTCATGCTCTCTCTCTCTCAATCTCTCTCTCAGAAATAAGTAAAACATTAAAAAAATAAAAAGTTAAATAGTGTGAATACATTTAGGTGTAAAATGTGTTAGTCATTGTTCACATTTTATGCTCAGGGATTTCTCTTAAATTTGTCTTTGTGAAGATCATACACTATCACTATATGGTGTTAATCCACTAGGCTCCATGAAGCTCAGCAATGCATACAAAGGAGTGGAAGTAAATGACATTCAGAAAAATCTCATGAAAATGGTGAGTCTGTGGACTGTACATAAGCTCTGTGCTGAGTTTTAATACCTCTGAGTATGAACTAATCACATCTGAAAGTGAATTGAATGCCCACATGGGGATTTACAGAAGCCCTCTGCACCAGACACACCAAGGGCATTCATAACAGCCAACAACTTATCATGATTTCACTTGCATGCTTGTGTGCATGAAGGCACCAGGAGCTAGAGACACTGTGACCAGGGGGCATGCAAAGTCACTCAGGGAAAGGAGACACTCTTGGGTACCTTTGTGATCAGCCACACACTGGCTGCAGGCCACAGGGTTGATGGGGCTATCTGACTTCCACTGCTCACTTCCCTGTTTGAGGAGCTTCGCTTTCTGATGGAAACAGAGGCATGAAGGACAATATTGGGATCCACCTATACCATGAAAAGAAGTGTGCATTGTTAAACCAACAGTCTGAGAGTCCACCCTCTTCAACACATTCGTCCACAATAGGTTATCCTAAGACCTTATGTTTCTGATTGAGAAGTTCTCTTTGGAAACAATAATGCTCATTCCCATTTAATTCAATTCAATTAATATTTGTTGAGCATCAGCTCTGATATGCAAGGCACTAGACTGTGTGGTGTGGGATATGAAACAGTATTTTTGCTGCCCTAGAGAAACTTGTAACAGAAGAGTCAATAAGATGCACACACACACACGCACACACACACGGGAAGAAATAATGGATTGCAGAATGGGGACCTCAAAGGAGAGCAGTTAAAAGTCCCCACAATTTCTTTAGAATAAAGGCATATGAGTTGAGAATTTAGCGAAAGTTGTGAGGATGGATAGGAGGGGACCAACTGGTAAGACACAGTATCTGTGTTTCACATATTTGTTATCAGACTACATATGTCGAAGATCAGTATACCTTCTAGCATTTCTCATGTAGACTTGATTGTAAAATTACTAGACATTCACATCACCTGTAGAAATTCTCCTTAATATTTAATAAACTTTTTCACTAACTTACATGATCACTTTTTCTGAGTAATCATACTAAATTTCTAAGTACCAATATTTGTTTGTATAGGATTATGGGAATATGTCAGTTTTGCATTAAGCCAAATAAGTGATGTTGCTTCAATAACAATTTTTTCTAATACTAAAAAGTATATTCTAAATCTGTACTGATAATAGATATGTGTTGAGTGGCAACTGATTCTTAAAAATACAAAAATTAAATGATAATTTAAAAGGTAATGTTTATAAATTCAGTCAGGCAGTAACAAAAGGGTATAACTAATATATTTGGCAATTATTCTATAATGGAAGATAGTTACTCCCCAAGAGAAGAAAATGTCTTCTGAGTCCTATATGTGACAATAAAATTTTAAAAATACAGCAACCCCATGACATAAACAGATTTGACTTGCAGCTCTTTGATTGTGTATTTCCCAGTTAGCCAGTAGTGGCTGGATTCTGGAGGGGAATCCCCCACAGTTTCTGAACAATGATAAACTATATTCTACTAATCCACCCGCCACAAGACTCAGCATTTAAAGTAGCACTCTTACTCAACCTCCTAACTCGAAGTTGCCATCACACTCAAAACTCTCCTCTGCAAGTGGGAAGAAGATCGTTTTGACTGGAATTAGTCAGACAGAAGAACTGTACTGCCAACTGCTTCTTTGTACAGCACCTGCTGCCAGCGCCTAAATTCTTGTTATCTCCACAACATGGTTTAATCTTTTAACAGTTGGCTTATTGGTGAAGAGTGAAGGGGTCCTTTGTGTCTGTCTTGGGTTGGCACCCAGTATTAACACCATGCTGTTCTTCGAGAGATATTTTGCTGGACAGTTCCCAAGTGATTCTACATAGACCAGACACAGCCAGGCCCACTAACTCAGCTTCATTGCCTGTTATTAAGAGAAAAAAATCTTGCCAAGTCTGGGGTTCTGATACATTTAAAATTGACAATGGCCATTAAATTTCAATTTGTGACTTTGCCTTCTTTTCTCTTTTTAGTTTAATTGGATAGTTTAGCTTGAGACCAATCATTTGTGAAGGTGAGGAAAATAAAGACTGAAAACTGCAATTCATAAAAGAAAAGTGCTCTGACAACCTGAAACATGGTACACCATGTGTATGCGCACACACACACACGTATGCATTCAACAGCATTTATGTTGAGACTGTTTTCTAAATACATACCATCACGTATGTCAAGAAAATCTCTTGTATTCTTCTGAATACCTCCTCTCTCTATATATGTATAGCTCACTTTAAATGGCCATTATGATTTTGGTTGTCTGAATAAACTGTGCTGATACAGAAGCTGCCAGTGATTTTAAAAATGAGGCATTCATATTCTGTGCCTATTAAAACTTTTTGTTTAATTTTCTTTTTCCAAATCACTAGTGAAAGTGGATTGGCCTTCAATATTCCTGTGAAAATTCAAAATAATAAGAGAACCACTTACGGTGTTACTTACAGATCTACTGAAAAATAAAATATAAGACAATGAAATTTTTCTTGAAAGGAGAAGCTTTTTATTCTGAACAATTTTTGTTTTTACTACATAGAAATTTTATAAGATTTTTCACGTTTGATAGTGAATTTAGGGCCAAGTTAAAAAAATGATACACAAATTAAAATCACAACTATAAGAAATGTTATAACATCTCTTTCCTCACATCCCTGATGTTCATTTTTATTGTTTTCATTCTCTAAAGCTATCAATACACCCACTTCAAAGGCCAAGAACTGGAGAAGTCTAAAAGCACAAGATATCAGTGAGTACATAATTATGCAATCAAAGATATAAGATGTAAATAGGCAGTCCTCAAATAGCTTCCAAATATTGGTCTAAAAATAAGGAAGGGACTCAGGATTTTATTAAAGTTCTGTGACCTATTCTAATGGCAACCAGTTCAAAATTAAAAATAAAATTTTGTCTTCCCCACTATCAATTATTTGTAGAAAACATTATTTTTCAATGATGTGCTTTACAAATAAATAGGACAGTAAAAAAGTGTCCATTCTTTTCCCAGCCTCCTTTGTGACATATAAAATAATTTATTCTGCTAGCATCCATGACTGCTGATTTATAAGCTGTAAGTTTATAACTTGTAACTAGTATGCCACAATTCTAAAATCATGATTTGGTATTGTTTTCACTATTCCCATACCAAAAGTTGTCACTAATGTCCTACTAATGTCTGATTATACCAAAAGGCTAGGATTAAAGTATGTTTCCTTTCCATTTTGGCAGAATATATTACCTGTCAAATACTGGAGTCTACTTTTCTGCTATTTTTTCCCATATTCAGGTACTACTAAAACTATTCCTCTCATGAAATGCTTTTTTTCTTTTATATTAACTACCATGAAGATTAAATCTCATCCAGTGCATGGAAATAATTTAATTTTATTGCCCTTAAACTGAAGCAATATGAAAATGTTGCCAATTTAGATAACAATAGAGAACTGTGGAAAGATGTATTTGCCAAACTGTCAATTTGTGGTAGATTCCAAACCTTCTTTTGAATGGATAAAAGAGCAACAGGTTGTAATTGTCAGGGTTATATCTATCTCCCACATTACTAATAGGGATTATATGTTCCAAATTTTTCTCTGTAGGAAAGGTTTTACTTGTCAATAAGAGACTTAAAAGAACAGTCAGGGGTTGGGGCACTGGTATCTCTTTCTCAAGCCAATTTTAAAACGTATGCATCAAGAATATCGGCTTTTGCCTCCCTCTCTCTACCCCTGTTGTAATCCTCTTAGTGTCTTCTTTACCACAATGAGCAACAAGATTCTACAATAAAAGGCCCTATAGATATCTATCACCTCTGCTAGAATTGCTCTTTAAAAGTGCTTCATTTTAGGTTATTAAACTACTATTTCCAATGCACTGATCACCTCTCTGTATATAATTAGAGATGCTTTTCTGAAAAGATTGTAAAGATTTCATAGCTAAGGGAGGGCCATTTTTCTTTGAAAGCTACTTTTTACTAGACAGTTTACCAAATCATTGCTTTCTTATATTACTATTTTGGTCACACTAAAATTTTATTCAAAACCAATTTCTTCCTCTAAAAATATGATAGCGTACAAACTTTTATTTGAGTTTTCTCTTTTTCACTGAATCATTAAAACCAGTTAATAATGATTAAATAAGTAGATTGTTATTCTCTTATTATTCAACATTATAAAATATAGTTATCTTTTAAAAGTCCTACATTGGCATAAAATCAAAAAAGAAGCCTCCTTTGAGTTCTTTACCTCTGATAGCTTTTGGATATCCTGGGTTTTTTTTTTCTAGCTTTGAGCTGGTTTCTGTTGAATGAGTTAATTAACCAGCGAATTCAATTCCATCTAGCTAACTCTGAACATCTAGATATTACAGTAATGACAAGGATGACCAGGATGCCCTTTGCCCTTGAGAAAGATCTAATTCAGCAGGGAGGATAAAAAAAAGACCTCCTGAGTTATTCCCAACACAAACACCAAATCAGATCTTGCCTCTGTTTGAATATTTCCAATGGCCCCTTGTTTTCTACAGAACAATATCCAGAATCCCTAACAATGAATTAGACCCTTTATGATCTGATTAGATTCTCAGTGGAATCTACTATTCTTTCTTTTCTTCCTCAATGTGTCATGATATATGTTCATACTTGGAGCACTGTTTGACTTTTTAAAAAAAATTTTTAATGTTTATGTTTGAGAGAAAGAGAAACAGAGCATGAGTAGGGGAGAGCCAGAGAGAGAGTGAGACATAGAATCCAAAGCAGGCTCCAGGCTCTGAGCTGTCAGCACAGAGCCTGATGGAGGGCTTGAACTCACAAACCACGAGATCATGACCTCAGCTGAAGTTGGATGCTTAACCAACTGAGCCACCCAGGCACCTTGACTTTGAACCATGTAAAAAATGCTTAATAGGAACAGCATCAAGTTCAAACTCATTATAATGAGGGTGTGAGTCCAGAAACATTATATCTAATTTGGAGATGAAGGTTGGTAAAAAGAGATTTCATGACACAGGCATAAATCAGATAAGACTAGAATGATGGGCAGAATTTCAGCAAGCATTTAAAGAATGCCAGCTGTATGTCAGACACTGTATTAGAAAATGGCATAAGGGTGTTAAAAGGCTGTTGGGTAATGACAAAGAAATAAATGTTGAATTCCAGGCAAAGGGATCCACATGGGCATAACAGAAATCATAAAGTACTTTCAGAAAACAACAAATGAACAATCAGGCTTGGCTAACACATGAGGAACATATTAGAAAATATTGAGCCTTGAAAGATAGTTTGTAGCTAAATTTTAAAAATCATTCATAAAAAATGTATTGTGTACCTGCCCTACATTCAAAACCTGTCCTAGAATTCAAAAATACAAAGATGGGTGAGACATAATGTGTCTGCCCCAAGAATTCTCAATTTAGTGTAAGAGAAAGACATAAAAATAAATGACTATACCAAAACACAAACTCTAAGGATGAATAGGTGGTTCAATAATATGAGGTTCATTCTTTTTGGAGGACCTAAGAAGCCTTTATGGAAGAAGGAAAAAGTTGAATAAAACCTTAAAAGGGAAGGAATGGTAATGGTGTGGGGAGGGTGGGGGAGGGCAGTATATTGTAGGCAAAGAACAACACACACCATGGTACAAGAGTACCAAAGTGAAAAACATGTTATGGGGCACAATATATTAGCTCTAACTGTAGTGTAGGGTATAAAGATCAAGAAGAGAAGATTGAAGAGAAGATTGGGAAGGCAAGTTGAGAGTAGAGGTGGATTAGAGGAGGATTTGGAATTTAGAGGAGTTGGAATTTCAGTAGGCAACTTCCAGGGTTACAAGTTTTTTGAATAGGAAATAATACCACAGCAAAAAAACTAAAAAGCAATGCCAACAGGATCAGAACTAAGGTAAATAAATATTAATGTCAGATAAATACAAAATACAAAAGGCATTCATTCTTACTGTACCATTCAAGTTGCATTTATGTTCTAAATTTGCTTAAAATCTAACAGGATTAGAAATACAGTTGACCATGGAATAACACAGGCTTAAACTGCGTGGGCCCACTTACATGAGGATTTTCTTTGGTATAGTACAGTCCTGTAAATGTATTTTCTCTTCCCTATGATTTTCTTAATAACATTTTCTTTTCTCCAGCTTGTTTTATTGTGATAATACAGTACATAATGCATACAGTATATAAAATATGTGCTTATAGACTTTATGTTATTGGTAAAGTTTCTGGTTAACTGGTAGGCTATTCACAGTTAAATTTGTGGGCAGTCAAAAAGCAAATGTGGAAGAATACCTCAGTCAGTTAAGTATCCAGTTTCGGCTCAGGTCATGATCTCATGATTTGTGGCTTTGAGTCTCATATTGGGCTCTGAGCTGTCAGCACAGAGCCCTGAGCCTGCTTCGGATTCTGTGTGTGTATGTGTGTGTGTGTGTGTATGTGTGTGTGTGTGTGTGTGTCTGTGTGTGTCTTTGCCCCTCTCCCATTAATGTTCTCTCTCTCTCTGTCTGTCTCAAAAATAATAAATTAAACATTTTTTTAAAAAGTTTCTTTTAAAAGACATTTCATAGCTCAGTTAGAGGAGAAAATTTTTTACTGGCATGAAAAATTTCTAGGTATAAATTAATGTATAGACCTTTTGGGTTGGACTGCCATGAGTTGGGTTTCCAAAGAACTCCTATTCCTTAAATACATTGATCCATAGAGCAAATAGATCAAATCTTTGTTTAATAGCCTTCTTAAAGAGTTTTAAAACAATGTCAAATAATTAATACAGTAGATAGAAACAAAATATGCTAACCAATAGTACTTAAATGACATAATTCAGGTAAAAAAATTTCCCGGAAGGAATACTATATATTGGTTCAGTTTTTAAAGTGCTTAATTAATAGGAAGTAAAGACTAATGCCCCAATATTTGTAAAATAATTTAAACTTTTCAAAAACTTTCACAAAATCCGCTTAGTCACCATATACTGAATGATGACCCAATACATAAAATACCTTTATTAAGTACAATAAATAATTCTGACCTTGCTCTGTAGGAAATGGTTCTCCAAGTCCACCTTTTCAAATTGATCAGGTATCTTTTGACTGATATCGTTGAAATTAACTGGGAATCCCTCACAAACTTCCCAACTAAGAAAAGTAAAATATTTTAATTATTTTTGTTAAAATGTACTTAATTACAAAACTCTTTAATCTACTAGCATAATAACTTATGTATCTTATACTCTACTAGGGAGAGAAAAACAAATTTATAGTCCATAATCTTTTTAAACAGAAATTTGTAAAGTGTTTTGCTATCCATAATTGGGAAAAGGGAGACTTTAAATTTGTATCTTGCAATTAATTATGATACTGAGGAATTCCATGCCTAATTAATGCCTAATTAATTATTAATAGAACAGAGCAACAAAAAATTACTTTTAATTTTACAGAATCACTCATAGTGGGTACTATCTTCATTATTCAATTTTATTCTAAATACAATGGACTATGAATAATAACATGTTTTTATACTTAGAATGGTTATGTCAAACACATTATTTTAGTGATTTTTAGACAGACTTAAGAGGCAGCACAGTCTAATGGGCACAAGGACAAACCACATACTGAAGGAATGGGTTTCATTCTTACTTCACCCAAATCGCTTATTTTAAAAGGAAACCAATCCTAACTCTAAAGAAATTATCTGGCAAAACACTGATATGTTAAGATTCATGATATAGCATGTTATTCAACAGGAACCAGTTCTGGGGCTGGTAATAGTATTTTTTTTCAATACCCAGAGAATTATAAATTAGAGAATGATTATTAAGATTTCAAATGATGCACATTAGAGTATAGAAAGAAAATTCAAATGGAATCCAAAAATTATGTATATTGTCTTCAAATACGTTTGCTTTCAGTAAAGGTAGTTTCATATTGTTATGCTTTGTGACCTACATCTAACTTAAAAACCACTCAATAAAACAGTACCCATTTTATCCAAGGAAGGAAATTACGGAGAAATACGTGAATTAAAAATTAAACTCTTGCTAAAACTTGGAGGGAAAGGGTCTGGTCAAATTTAGTAGCTTGGGGAAAGATTGGGACACAAGAAATAAATCTTATATATGGAAATGCTTACAAAAAGAAATGCTGATAAGTTATCTTCTATCTATAAAGAAAAAAAAAAGAAGAAAAAACAGATTCTAATCTTGCCTGGAAAGTGCAGGCAATCACTGGGGGACAGAGTTGTTTAAACAACCAAAGAAGACCAAAGAATTCATCTTTATAGACATGTTTAGCAACAGGTTGACACTATAGCTCATCAGACTGCTTTTGCCTCTCTGGATTTTTCCTCTACAGCCTTTTCACTTGTATACTGAGGAAGACTATAATTTGTTAAAATACAAAATATTAAATATAGATGGGACCTTACAGAAAGATCACCTAATCCAACACACTCTCAGTGTCTATTACAATAGCCACTAGCCATATATAACCTATTTAAATTAGAATCAGAATAATTTAGCTGCACCTGGGTGGCTCAATCAGTTAAGCATAGGACTCTTGGTTATGGCTCAGGTCATGATCTCATGGTTTGTGGAATCAAGCCCCACATCAGGCTCTGCCCTGACAGCATGGAGCCTGCTTGGTATTCTCTCTCTTCTCTCTCCTCTTTCTCTGCCCCTCCTCCTTCTCAAAATAAACATTTTTAATGTTTATTTAGTATAATTTAAGCAAAATAAAAACTCAATTACTCAGTCACATTAGTCATATTTTTAGTGCTCAATAGTTAGTTATAACATATGCTTCTATCATCATAGAAAGTTCTACTGAACAGTGCTAACAGTGGGTAAGTCCTCAGTTCTTTTTTTTTTAATGTTTATTTATTTATTTGGAGAGACAGCATAAACAGGGAAAGGGAAGAGAGAGAGGGGGAGAGAGAGAGTACCAAGCAGGCTGCTCACTGCCAGCACAGAGCCCAATGTGGGGCTCAGTCACACAAAACACGAGATCATGGCCTGAGCCAAAATAAAGAATCTGTCACCCAACCAACTGAGACACCCAGAGAGGCCAAGCCCACAGTTCTTAAAGAAGACAATTTGGGTTAGAATCCTGGCTCTATCATGTACCAGTATGTGAATGGACAAATTACTCTGTCCCTCTGTGCCTCAGTTTCTGTCTTTATAAAATGGAATAATAATGAGATAAGGTAATGATGGGATTAAAATAATTGTTTTGAGGATGAAATAAATCCTTACCCAATTCATTTAGAACTACAGCCAACACTTAGTAAGTACTGGGTTTTATTATTTATAGATAAGAAGCCGACAACCATCTGCTCACATACAATCATGAGCAGAGATGGGTCTAGAAGCTCAAATCTTCTAACTCCTGTTTTGCCACCACCCCACAAATTTTCTAGCATATTGCTTCTGTTCTCATCATCATCAAATGAGATGCTTAAATATGAACACTCCTACAAGAAAACATATTATTTAATATTTTAATGATTCCACTCAAAACTCTTCATTTAGAAAGAACCACTAAAAACAGTTTTTACATTTCAAATAAAATTGTTACCTCTGCAAAGCAGAAACTATAGTCCGCTCATTGCTTCATACAGTTTTATAAAACTTAAGAAAAGTTACTGATAAGTCTTTATAGACACTAGCTCAGTACATCATGAAATAAGTCAATAAAATACACAATTGTTTATGAAGACAATTAAAGAACATCTTTCAGCTTTTCAATCTCTCACTCTGGAAAATTAGAATTACATAATTCAGATTACTTTAACCAAGCACATGTTACTTTACTTGTCACATCCAGGTAGCAGAACAGCATTAGGATCCAAGAAGGTTTTATATGCAACTGTAATGCCCTCTCTGTCAAATGCAGTCACCTGATCAAAGGTCAGACCCAAAACAGGGTTTAGTGGAGATCTGAAAAATGGAAAAAAAACATCAAAGTGATCAAATTATACAAACACTGAAATTTGAGCACAAATAAAAAATAAACCTATAAAAACAGTGAGTATTAAAGTCAGGAAATTAGTGAATTTCCTATTATAAAGCACTATAGTTGATATTTTATACTAATACCTGAAATGCACATTTTAGTTTATTTGGCTGATTGATAATATGTCAAGGATAGTTGCAATACATATAATTTTAAAAAATAATTTCAATACTAAAAGCAAAGTATTTAGTTGAGAAAAACAAGCAACTGTCATTCATACAATGCAATACACTTAATATTCTCTGGAGCTGATAATTAAATGAATTCTTAATATTTGGCTATAAACTACTATTCTTTGTAAGCTCACTAAATGCTAGGCTGATTTCATTTTTCATATTACATACTGTTAGGTATTTTGTTTTAGATTAATTTAATTATATGAGAATTAAAATCAAATGAGAAACGTCTTAAATAAAAACAATGGCAACTGGCATTATGTTATCTATGAGCCATTTTTGTCTAAACTGGTGACAAAGACTTGATATTTAACTTTATAATTATAGGACTCAACCACATCACCTGTGTAGCGTTGTCAAAAAAAATTTTAATTGAAGCTAATCATGAGAGAATAGTGCCTGAACTCTTTAAAAATTTTCAATGTCATGAAAAGCAAAACAAAGGTGAGAGAATATTCCAGATTAAAGAGAACTAAAGAAAATAACTATATGCAATACATGAATCTTAATTGGATCCTGGACTACAAAAAACTCTGAAGCACATTTTGGGTAGATTAAACATAGATTGTAAATTAGGTGATATTACATTATTGTGGACTGTGCTAGATATTATGATGTGGTAACATAAAAGAACGTCCTATTATTCTTCAGTTACATGACAGGGAGCATTTATAATGAAACTTTAATGATTGTCTAGAAGTAATCTCAAACCTCTCAAAAGAGAGAGAAGGGAGATATAAGAGGTAAGATTAACATGGCAGCGTTTTAAACTTGTGAACCCAGGTGAAGAATATATAGATATTCATTGTACTGTTTTCAAGTTTTCTGTAGATGGGGGATCTTGTCCAAACTAAAAATTGGGAGAAAAATAATTACAAGACTCAAAATAAAAGCAGATATTGGCAAAATCATCTTTTTATAAATGAATAAACCAATTCCACATATCAATATATATTAGGCACATTAGAATCACTGTCTAAAAATGAATATCATTTATTTAGTACATATTGCACATTGTATCAACATATTTTAAACTGGACCTAGGAAATAACTTTTAGATATAAATTTTAGAAATTCCAATAGTAGCAAAATGCTATAATGGTTCCCTAGTGCTTTATATTGGGATCAGAACCAGAAAAAAATATTATCCTATTAAAATAACAATGACATATAAGCAATATACACTTATGAATTCTTCCAGCTACAATCCTCAGGTGATTTTAGGGTATTCTAGATACTTAGCATTTTACTAGTTATTCTATAAATATGATCTAATTAACCAAGAATAAGTGTGGTGGTTGATCTTATTAAAATTACAAGCATCATTAGAAACATCAAAATTAGTCATTGTTTTCATTTTAATAATACTACTTAAGAAGAAATTATTAGACATACATTTTATTAAAGCCTTTCCTTGTAATTGGAAGAGCTTGCTAAATTATTCAAGAATCCTTGCCGCTGTAAAATTCATTGCTGTTCTATGGGGCACCTGGGTAGCTCAGTCAGTTAGGCAACTGACTTCAGCTCAGGTCATGATCTCACAGTTCATTGCTGTTCTACCATTGTAAAAACAATTCTTAAATGTAGTTAAATTATATTTTGAAACCTGTCTATGGAAGGAAACATCATTCCTTACATATATTTTTAATTCTATAAATTACACAGCATAAGAAATTATTAAGCAATTTAATTTTACTCTACTGGGAAAGAAGAAACAAAATTTCATAATATGCTACCCACAATTAATGCAACCAACTCCTTCATGAATTTCTGAGTAGATTTATTTCAGTATATAAAATTTTGACTATTAGAATATATAGCAAATCCAATCAGCTCCTAGTATATCTATGCTATTTTCATTATAATTAATATATGATCAATTATACCTGATAGGCAAAAGTATTTTTCTCTATTTACCTTATTCAAATAAATAAAAGCTTAAAATTTTTTTAAATAGGCAGAAAAGTAAGTTTAAGTTTCCTGACAAGCAGTTTCAGAGTTCATCTGGATGTGTCCTGTCAAAATATGCATAAATTTTAAGATATTCCACACAACAGCCCAGCTCATCAGTGCCTGTAGGCTGCAGCCTTTTTCTTTTCCCAGAAACACAGATAATTTTATGCAGGAATTTACCAATCTACAAAAATTTACGCAATGCTCAGCAATAACCAGTAATTATTGTGGGATAATGTAAGGCACTTTTGAGGAATATAACTTTGATAGGATAGGGCTTACAAGCTTTACCAATTTATCTTTAGCTGTCCTGTCATTGGTGCTTAAAAGGTTAAGACTTTATTTGTGAAAACATAGAGAGATAGAGGGGAATCATGTTGTCTACAGCTTCATAAATCTTGCTTAAGATCCTTTTCAATTACCATCCATTTCTCCTTTAAAAAGGGACAAAAAAATAGAGGAGTGGAAGCAGGTCAGGGCAGTGTGCGACAATGACAGTGTGATGGGCTTGGGCCCCCCGTGGCGTTTCCATCTGCTATCATTAAGGTGACTACTCAGACATGAACAAATCCCACTTGCTGTGCTGACAGGCAGACTTCAAGAACTATGACAAGGCATTAAGACAGAAAGTCAGAGAGACAGAGAAAGAGAGAGAGAGAGAGAAGGAGAGAGAGAGAGGGATGTCATATCTCACAAACAATACTGCTTCACAAGAAACACCCTGGAAATTTTATTGGAATACAGAATTTCATAAAACAATCACAAAGGGTACTACTTGGCTTCTCAACTCTCCTTTTAAATTAGCTTGCCCCTGGATAGATTGAGGACAGACAGAAAATAAACACCTTGTTCCTACCTGTATGCTTTACCGTAAGAGACCCAAATTTTTTGTTCATTCTTCAGCAAAAGTGGATTCTTAATTTCTTGGCCGTGCTCATCAAAAAGCCGGATTGAAGAAAAATTGAGGCCTGGTGGGCTGATGGGAGATCCTTGAAGCCTCTGATGAATCTTGAGAAGTAACTGGTGGTAGGAAAAAATAATGAAGAAGAAGAAGAAGAAGAAGAAGAAATGATATAAAATGCGAACATCTATAATAAACTGTCTGTACTCTGTAACAAATGAATCCAAACAAATGATAATTAAATTCATATAGAATGTTAAAAGAAGTGTGAAATGATGGCAATATTTAGCTCAGTGTAAAGTAACAAAATGAGCATGGGCTTTTAACCAGCAGGGGGTGCCACAGGCTTGTGATTGAGCTCTGACCCTTTGGCACGGGGACTGAAAGCAGATGTGACAGTCTTACAGAAAGAGCAGTTAGCTTCTACACATGGTAACAGTCCTCTTTGATAAGGGTTATGCTTTTCTTGTGTGAACTACACATTTTGTTAGGCTCCTTCCAGAGCATGTTCAAGTTTTACAACCAGCAACCTCCCCGTCCCTAACTAACCTCAGGTAACCACTGGTAGAACAATTTACCACTTACAGGATTACAGAAATAAACATGATTGTCAGCCTATGTTGATTCACTTAGACAAACTCTTGAATGTAGTTTAATCAAGAGCCTTTCAAAGGCTTGTGAGCTGCTTCAATAATGAAAATGTTTCCAAGTTGTGAGTAAGCTATAATTGAAATGTGAAGTATGAAATGCTGCCATTTAATATTCTAAATAATAACATTGTTAATGTTTGCTTCTCTCGTACACTCAGGGTTGCTAAATTATCAAGATATTTCTATTTTAAAGCACATTTTAAATGAAAGTAATTTTAACAGAACTATGTTGCATATGGAATTTTAAAGGACATTTTTCCTTATCTGTCAACTTTGTTTGAATGTTTAGGTCTCTGCTCTTTCCTGCTCTGCACCCCACACTATCCATCACTCTGTTCCCCCTGGAGCCTTCTGTCACCACATCCTTTTCTTCTCTCCCTTGTCGGTTCTTACATCTCTCAATTTCTTGTTACTCTGTAATCTCGGCAGGGATGAAGATATATTTGTGGCCTTTTCTGGCCTAGCTGCTATTCAGGGTGCTTTTTTGGCTCCTTCTATTAATTCCCATTGAAGGTATTTTGAGAAGCTAAATGCCAAAGCTTAGAGGAAAGAAGACAAAGTTGCGATCCTGTCGTATACTTCATGTTTCCTCACCTATTGGCTATAAACTCTTGTTCGGGTAAAATATTTTCTTTGATCAGCAACTATAGTATAGAACACCTAAGACTTAAGCTTTGTTGTAATTAGAGATAAATAACCATATTTCTAACCTCATCATCTCTACCTTGTTTTCATTCACCTCTATGTTGACCATATTTTCACTCTTAAGCATCAGAAAGGCTGAAAACAATGAAATATTTTTTATTTCATTAAAGTTAATGTTTCTCATCCGGCCTAACCAAGTCCTTTGAATTAAAAATAATGATTACTATGCTCTTTAGGAGTATATTAGGGAAGGTCCTAGTACAGCAAAAATCTGTATTGTTTTTAGCTTTGTTCATTGAAACCGCAAACATATTTTGAATTCTATAGATTGTTTTTATGAAGCCCTACATTTATTTCTGTGTGATCTCAGACCATGAGCTTATTTTTTGTTGCATTGCTATTATTTCAGGAAATATGGAATGCTGATCATCTTTTAAATCACAGTGATTTTGCTTCACAGGCATCATCCTTTTTTGTAAAGGGGAGAGATATAAAGATTTAAGGCCTGATTCAAGAAAGAAATGTGTGCACAGAGGATAGGGGTATGTGGCAGGAGGATATGAATACCTGACCACTTAACCAAATTCATTTTCACAGTCTCTATTTTCTCAACTGAATTTTAGGTGTTCAAAGATGAGCATTCAAGAGTCTACAGGAGGTCAGGGCCTCAGTTCCTTTCATCTCTAGGTCATTGGCTAGGGCAGGGTTATGGCAACCAAAAGTTGTGATAATCTTCACCCAGTTATCTTTAAAGCTATCATCACCAGGCCTTTATGAGACAAGAATTTGTTCAAGGACCTGAAAAGAGTGTGAAACATCTTAGGCTAATGATTGAGACAAGTGCACACCAAGGGAACAGGCATTCTTGGATACCACAAGGGAATCTCCCTAACAAAGAGCTTTATCCCCTCAGATTTACTTGCATATAAAAGCAAAGCATAGGTCAATTTCAATATGCCATAAGCCAACACAAAAACTTTCTCTGAAATAATATCTTCCTGTATAAGATAACATAAATACTGATTTCAGTTTTAATGTAAACCAAAAAGTAAAATTTTCTAATACAAATAAGAGGGAAAGTAGAGGATTCTAGGAAGGTTTTTATACAATGGTGATTTATATAGTTAGAAATGTGATGGTATAAAGAAACCAACCAAGGCTCTTGATCCTTCTCTCTCTAATCAGTCAAGGTAGCTATCTCTTCTGGGTCCAGCCAATGACCAGATCAGATGAAAATCTCCTAATTCTGTACAACTCTTGTGATTGACTGTAAAGGCCAGGTAAAGGATACCACCAGGGAGAGGTTAAGTCTGAGGGTGCTGAACTGAAGGGAAAGGAGCAAGTTTATAAACAAAGGCCAAGGAATAGAGACCAAAACATTGGTATATGCTGGGGTGCATAACCCCAATTTGTAAAGAACAGGGTATTCAGTGTCCTTTTATTTAAGACAAAGATCCAAAATAAAGACCCTCTTCATATTGGTTCTGTCTGAGAAACATCCCAATTGTCTGAAAAATAAGCAAAGGTAAGAGTGCCTAAGATAAACCATCTAGACGTGCTCACAACGACCCATAGGAGAAGACTAACTATATGTTAGTTAAATAGGGCCTAGGGCTTGCAAATACCTCAACCCAGAACATACCCTCCACTGAATATCATGTCACTTCTTTTCAAAGTGTAAACAAGAGGGCAATCTCAGAGTCCAGTGTAGACAAATTTCCAATTACAGGCATAATGAAGGTTAAGATGCTGTTAAGTATGAGACCAAGAGTTAATGCTGTTCTAAAGTTGAGAGCCTACGAAATTCAAAGTCAAGCTTGAGACTATCAGTCTTTACAGAGCAGCAAATGATTAATCTTCCCCAAAACAATGTAATTGTCTAAATTAACTACAAGTAGCTTGAGGGATATATAGTCATAAACAGCCAGTCCGTAAACTCACGTTTTCCATCATATCACCAGTCTGAGTTGGGCTATTGGACTCCAGGTCTTTTTTGCTGATACAAATAGAGATCTCTCCAGTGTCTTTACCATTTTCAAATATCTGAAAAATAAGCACATTCAAAATTAAAAATAAATACATGCACATACACATTCGTGCATATGTTCATACATACATATATAAAGGTAAGCCATCCTGGCTTTGCACGGTATGGTGTCGACTGACAGTCATGAATATGGGAACTGTGCAAGGCAAGGACTGCCTCTATGAACATGTGCAGGTAACTGGCAACGAAAATCAACAGGACTAGAACAGTATAAGAAAGTCCCTTGCTGCTCCTTTCAATTTCAGTGTCTTTAACCTGACTGGCATTCCCTACCATTTTAAAATAGAAGGAAACGTGGACATTAAAGGAGAAATCTGACTGACTGCGCTGGATGCTTAAATGGAACAAGCACCAAAGAAAGTCAGTCAGCAACAAAATAACTACTCTACTTAATTCTTTTGAAAAACATAAAGCCACAAGTTACATGAGGGATCTATGATTTATATTTAAAATACATAAGTGTTCATGGGGTGCCTGGCAGGCTCAGTCAGCAGAGCATGTGACACATGATCTTGGGGTTGGGAGTTCAAGCCCCATGTTGGGTGTAGAGATTACTTAAAAATAAAATCTTTAAAAACATAAAAGTAATGAAATATATTAGTGTTCAGCTCATCTTCTGACTTACTAAAAGGAAATTCAACCTGACAGATTTATTGCATAACAGTACGATGAAAGCCATCCATTTTAAGTGCACACATGCAACAAGTTGTTGAGAACAGAGATCAAATTCTTAGCATTGCATTATGCAACACTTACTGGGGGGGAAAAGCCAGCAAATGTTCTGGTAGAAGGGGAGATCCACCAGAATGAACACCATCCTCTGACCATGTTAAGGACCCACATGGGATGTGCCAATCCATTAACCAGGCTCTTAAGAATAGAAGCAGGCCAAGGGAGGCCTGATGAATAATTTAAATTCTTACTTATTTTATTTTTTCTCAAAATTTCAATTCTTCCCTTTCTGATACACCTATCACATCCGAGTAGTCATTTTATCTCTAGTGCTATTTCCAGAGAAGATAATTTAGGAAAATACCTTATTTAAAAAGAAAGAAAACCTTTTGTTTTCCTTTTGAGACAGTTTTGAGAGTTATTTAATTTGTCCTAGCCTGGTTTGGGAAATAATGTGAACCAATAGCTTCCTTAGGCTTTAGCAAAAAAAAAAAATTTTTTTTAAAAAGAGTAATAATGTTCAAGAATCGTGGTTTCTTTTCTACTCAGTACTTTTCATTGTGCTGACAGTCCAATGGAGATAATGCAGCCGTCAGCCTTGGTACATTGAAATCCCACACCCTATAGCATTTTTTGATCACAGGGATTTTTTAAAACTTCTTTTCTTTTACATACACAATTCTGAACAAGAAATCTCTCTACTTTTGCAAGGAACTTTGTAAACTCAACAGCTGCCTACAAACCTACAGGAAATAATGTGGGTGGAGAATCTTACTCTTCCAAAAATCTCTTCAGGGCTCTAACCTGGAACAGAGATTTTAAACAATAGCGACATTTAGCAAAGATAGTCTCGGTTCTGGGTGTCATGCATTCTGCAAGGTTAGTGTTGACAAAAGTTCAGTTTGGGGGACTTACTGACATTCCTTTGTCAAGACTTGCTAGACTTGAAATCAGAGTGCAGAAAATTATGCTCTAGAAAACAGTTAACTGCCAAACTGAGAAAGCAAATAGGAGTTGGCCAACAGTAAGACTTCCTTAGCTCACTGCTTTCTTTACTACCAGTAAGAAGTCTGTTCTTCTAGGTCCAGAAGTATAAAAAATATAAAAAATAAGAAAATAAAGGCTCTAGTCTCCAAAATCTCTATAAAGACATTTAAAAAAAAGATCTCTTAGGGTTTAAGTAAAAGTTTAGATGTTTAAATGAAAGTAGCCTTTTACACCAATTTATAAACACTAAAAAGCCCACACATAGCCCTCCATTAGTCAGTTGTGTAATGTATTGTTCTCTGCATTTTTACAAAAACCAAAAATTCCCCAAGCTGAAGTGTTATGAGATTCTGCTTTTCCTAAGGCCCACCTCTCATTTTTAAGGTCTTTATTACTATGCCCATTTTTTTCTAAAATCCAATTATTACATTTTTTTCTTCCTTTGCATGAGAAGTATTTTTACTTCTATTGTCCAATGTTTAAACAAAGATAGCTTTCTAAGAAGAGTTTCTGTGATTGACTAGATATAGAAAAATTTTTTAAATAAGAAAAATCTACTTTTATTTTCCTGCTGCCTGATCCATGGCTTAAGAAACACCGACAGCTGGATTGGCTTCCCAGTGGCTCTCTGCATGGCCTCACCTCTTGACAGCTCTAAAATTAAATTCCTACCCTTGGAGTGGGATGATGGAAAAAGCTAGCTGAGGTGAGTTTTGGGCCCTAAAGAGAAAGATAATAGAACCTTTAAAAGGAAAAAAAGTGATCCATATCCTCTTGAAAGGCATAGTAGCTAACGACTACTGAAGAAAATACCTATGAATAAGAATTTACCTCTGTGACTAGTTACAACAAGTAAAAAGTTTTAAGGAGTGTTTTCCATGAACTAGTCTTTTTACTTTCCTTCATGTTCATATTAACTTTTGTTAAGCAGGATTAAATTAGATTAACACCAATGTTTTCCTTTTTTAAAGTTTATTTATTTATTTTGAGAGAGAGAGTGTGTGTGCATGCAGTGTACGGGTTGGGTAGGGGCAGAGGGAGGGAAAGAGAAAATCTTAAGCAGGCCCCATGCTCAGGACAGAACCCATGTGGGGCTGGATCCCATGACCCTGGGATCATTACCTGAGCTGAAATCAAGAGTTGGTCAATCAACCAACTGAGCCACCCAGGTGTCCCACACCAATGTTTTATTGTAATATTGTTGATCAATTTATTCACTCAACAAATATTTACTGAGTACCTAACATGTGCCAAGCACTGCTCATGTGCTTAAGATATACCAGTGAGCTAAGATTTCTGCTTTTAAGGAATAGAACAAGTAAGTAAATCACAAAGGATGATCACGGTACATTCAGGTCCTGTAAATGCTAATTGTTCATTCTTTCTGTTAAGGAAGGCCCACCAAATTGTATAAATTTGGTGGACCTTCAATACAATTTGTGGGGCTTTTAACAAAAAGAATGCAAAATTACAAATGTAAAACTAGATAAAAGATATTCACTTAAAATGAGAGAAAAACAATCACAACAATTTACACACACTAAAAAGCTCACACACAGTAAAAACCACTGCAAAATATTTCCACTAATTAATTTTCCAATACACATATTTTGGCTGAATTGATCATCTCTTCATATTGTCACCTGGTAAAATTTTCTATAAGGCAAATAGAGAGATGATTCTTCCCTCTAGTATGGTTATTCAAAAAATGTATTCTTTGATTAGAAAAATCTCTCAGCTTCACAACTTTGTTGGTCATTTCATAAATATGTTTAGGGTTGATGTCGAATTCTGAAAGACCTTGATCAGACTTCTTTAAAATATGAACTATAAAATATGGAAGAATTTCCTACAAAGAGTTGGCTTTATTATTTTCACACCATGTTTCTCCTCCACCACCCGTACACTTTTGACGTCAAGCACTCTAGTCCATAGTCAGAAAGCAATACACTCTATGGTCAGCAGTAGTAGCCATCTTCCTGGGAGCTCTTTCCATATCAGAATGGCTAGTGCTAACTTAACCATACAGGAAGTGACTGCAAAACACTAATTACATTCCACTACACTTAAACGAAATGTATCCCCACTCAGTTTCTCCCAGCCAGACCTCAAAAATGCCTGTTGCCACTTCAACACTACTTGTAAAGGGGAACTCTTGACAGAGAGGAAGTTGGAATAGAAACAGACAATGGTCTCAACCAATTACAATTAAAATATATTTGCAAATTTTAACAGAAACATGTGGCCATATGCACTCATTGCTAGTGTTTCTTCCAGGGTTGTTGGGTTTTTTTTAGTTTTTAATTTTAATTAATTTTAATTTTTTTTACCGTTTATTTATTTTTGAGACAGAGAGAGACAGAGCACAAGCAGGGGAGGGGCAGAGAAAGAGGGATACACAGAATCTGAAACAGGCTCCAGGCTCTGAGCTGTCAGCACAGAACCCGATGCAGAGCTTGAACCCACGAACTGCGAGATCATGACCTGAGCCGAAGTCGGATGCTTAACTGACTGAGCCACTCAGGGGCCCTCTTCCAGGGTATTCAAAGGGGCCTACACAGAGGAGGAACCCTGAAGCTTAAGTTTCATTATAATTTTATGGTGAATGCACCTCTGAGAGTGCTTCTAATAAAGGGAAGGGGACATAAAGTCTGGGATTTGGGAGGGCAAATGGTGTAGTGAACACTATATGAAGCAGGTGACCAGAACAAGCCTTCAAGAGAGGAAAGATTTGGGTCAAGGCTTGACGGAGAGAGAGTTAACCAAGCAGATAGGCTGGGAGAAGAGCACTGCAGGCAAAGGGAACTGCTTGAGCAAAGAAACTATGGCAGGGATGTGTCCAATATGTTCTGGGAACTGCAAGAAGACTGGTGTTATTGGAGCAGAGTGATAAGAGAGTGAGAGTAAGTAACAAGAAGTAGAGGGTTAAGGGATTGGCAGAAACTCTTTGGAAGGTTTGGAACAGAGCAAAAACAAGATCTAACTTAAAAGGATCATTGAGGCTGCTGGGAGGAGAGTAGACTAAGGAGAGCAAATAGTAATCTGAAGGGTGGATGGATGATGGTGGTTCAAACCAGAATAGTAACAATGGACATGGTAAGAAATGGTCCATTTCTCTTGTTCATTCCTGAGTAATTTTACTTGCTCATTTTTGTATTAGCAGGGTTGCGAAAGAAAATTTGTTGTTAGGCTAATATTCCTGAATATGATGCCTGTGTCTACGGACATTAACCAAACTAAATGTAACTGTTCATATGTATTGTTTGTGAAGGCATAAAAATACCAATGAAGTAGTAAAAGAATTTTATTTACTGTGAAGATTTCATAGAGACAGTGA